ACGATGAAAAGTATGGAATAGACCAATATCCCAAACTGCCAAAAACGTGTATGGTAATTGCAGTGTTGCCAAGTCGCAAAAATTTACTTACATAATCATTTTTTAAAACATAACGTTATTGCTAAGCTTATCTTTGAAATTCCAATAGCAAGCTCATGTTCGAAGTGAAATCCTTTTTACGTTGTTTCGGCAAGAATATCATTGTCTGAATTCTGTATTCGCATTATGCTCACGGAAACCTTTCACACTTTGTAAGCATACTTCCATTTGTAATATAAATATGTACTTACATACATACAAGTACCAGTATGCCTCTTTTAGTCCGGATGCCAGTTTTTATAACCCCCTCATTCGCTTTCTTAGGAAACGGACAACTCAAAAACACTTGGAGTTTACTGAGAGCATTCAAGACCTGGTTTTTAAGTGTCGACCTTAGAGATTTAGTTCTGCAGTGCGGACTTCTTGTGAAAAATCCCACGTTAGAGAAGCAAAGTATCCGAAATGTTTTACAAATAATGGGGTTTATAATGTTTCTATTAAAAAAAAAATATATATATAACTGCTTGGACTTTTTTATGCAATTTTATTGGTTTATTATGTTCTTACAACAAAAAGTTGTTCTTATCTTATAATTCACAATTTTTAAATCATGTTCACAATAAATATGTATGTTAAGAAATAAGACTGATCTTTGCTTGTCAGCCCGACACAAAACTCCATTTATATGTGTGCAAATATATTTATACCATTCACTGGAGATACAAATGGTACTAATGGTATCCAATTCGTGGGTTATAATAACCATTGTCTTTTAAGAATTCAAGTTTGCTTGCATCAAATATTAAATTTTTAACTTTAATCTAATAAAATTTACTCAGATAATATGTTTTGTTGTTTAAATATTTCGATTTCAATTCTTTGTTACGAAAATATATGAATTCGTCTTAATAGATAAATAATGCTGTGTTTAAAATTTAATTTTTTCATAATTTTAACCTTTGTCATGCGATATCTACAAGAATAAGTTTTCACAAGTTCTTCTCAATCGTACAATTTTGGCAGGCCATACATTACACAAACATTAAGTTTTTATTCTTATCGGTAATTTATAAATAGGTATTTATATATGTATGTATAGGCATATTTACATTTAATAATATACGTATGTATGGATGCAATGATTTTATATCGTGTTTTAAAAGATTTTATATACAGGTGTCTACATGCCTTACCTTATCTTTTTTTATGCATACATACATATGTATGTATATCTGTGAATGCATCATTCATTCAAACGAGATTTCGTTATATTCTTTAAAATCGTGGAATTTACAAGGTCCTTTATCAAGAGATTTTAAAAATTTAAGATCCATTCCAACATTTCCAAATCCGTAGCAGTCATAGATGCCGGCTTAACAATCCGATCCGTTTTGCAAGAACTTTAAACTCTAATGACTTTCAATCAATTTTGGACCTTATTTCTTATTAAACTAACACTTACTTATATTTGCAAATATGTACTCTCATCTACATAAGTATGTATCAATCAATGGTAAATGTGTGTTAATTGTGATTTATAATTTTTACAAATTAAACATTATCCGAGGACTTTATACCTTCAATGTTTAATAAATAATATAAATACATGCAGAGTATTGGCCCTTAAAAATTGGAATCTTTCAAGCCTAGCCTAGCCTAGCTTCGTTCAATGCGTGTTTATCTTGGTAAACATATGTACGTACAAATGTACATACAAATACGTATGATCTGTCATAATAAGTACTACATGCTTGAATGAATGTTTGTGTAATAAGATGAAAGTAAATACTTACTTACATATGTATTTATGTACATACATACATACATAATTATATCTGTAATGCTAGATAAACTTAGTATATGCAGTTTTATTTGAATCGAACCTGCCTAACGAAATTATACTTTTACTTATTTGGAAATTTATAGCCTTTATGGGAGTAGTGTCGCCTTTGAAATTAGAAACACATTTAGGATATCAAATATTTTTAAAGGAATGTATGCCAAAATAAATTTCGCAAATAGCAAATCTATTTATTTTCCATGAAGGGTTTGTATTAGACGGAACTCGTAGTAATTTTAAATTCTCTTCGATTGTGTCCCGCCATATTTCTAAGCGACTGGATGTTTGTAATTGGTATAACAAAATATACCCCAAACTTAAATACTAATACTAAGGGATTTAAGAAAAATGTGTTGATCTGTAATTTGTTCGCCACATTTACTTATTTATTTATTGTATGCCCTATTTTGGAGTAATTATATATTTAAGAGCAGTAATATTAAGATTGTTGCGATTTTCAAGGAGTAATTAAGCCAATAGAAATCTAGTCAAATTTCATTACAAGAACCCCGTGGTCGTTAATTGTAATTATTTTTCATCTTTGGTTATCTGTTGAAACTAAATACTACGTTATTTTTATTTCGCTATCAATAAATATAATAAATATATTGATGTGTAATCATAGAAACGTATCAATCCATTTAAAGCTTTCAACACATAATTAATACCCTTTACTAAAATGAAGGCAGCATTTAATTAAAAAAAAAAAAAAAAAACAAAAACACAAAAAAAACAAAGATCTCGAATATCAGAAATCAACATAATCATGCATATCAATGTATCAGAATAAAGAGAAATCAACATTACATATTAAGCTTCAACTCAAATAAATTAAACACAACGATTTAAATATATTTGTTTTTTATTTATGTATATTTGAAAAAGTTTTGTTTGTTTTATACCTACTACAAATATAGTATGTACTAATTACAATAATTATAATAGTAATTTCATATTTTCGTCTTAAAATCTTAATGAAATGAAAGAACCTTAGCTGATATTATATAATTTAATCAAATACATCTTCGGTCAATACATCCAGAAATTGTAGACACATACACACAAAAAATTATATTAAGGGATTTTCACTACTTCAACAGATACATAGATTAAGTATGTACAAAATAAAATATTTACATAAATCAAAAAGAGTTTTCTTAAATTAGAAACAATTAAGAAAACAATAATAATTATAGTCATCGCAAAAAATATTAACATATTAAAAGTTTTATCACGCGAACAGATAAATAGTGAATTTATTTAATAAAGATAAAACAAACCAACGAACAATAAAACGATTTCATCAAAAAATAATGGTCTTTCAAGTAAAACTGCCTACCAAAGCTAAATTTATAATTTTCTGTACACAAAATAGGGAGAATTAAACATTAATCAACTTTTCCTTAAAAAAAAAAACTCGCAGAGTTTTTAATATCAAACAATTATTTCAACCGGAATAACATTTCTTTTCGGAAATCGTAAAATAAGTTATGTAAATAATTTTAGTATCCTTTTCTTCCTTCTATTGCCAAATATTTTAAATCTGCTTGAATTCGAAGTTAATTCTAAATTCTTCTTTTGCCCAAAAATGAATACATGCACTTGCGCGTACATAGTATGACGAGCTCATAAAACAAAAAAAAAAACATTACGAATATCATAAGTAAGAGCAAAAACGAAATATTTACCAACGCTACCGTTTGCTTTATTTTACTCTTACTTGTGTAGTATTCGTGGTTTTTGTTCTGAGCTTGGCATAAATACCTACATATATATGTAAGCATGTACGTATGTACACGTCAAGCTGATCTATAACTTTTTAGGGCCGTTTTCTAATGTAAACTGTAACTTTAAAGCTCACTTTCTTTTTAAAGGTTGCATTAAAATTTATGATTGTGCCTAAGGCAAAGCATTTTATTATCGGTTTAAATGGGTTTCCAACCAAGAAACATACATACGTCAAAATCGATAATAGAAATGCTTTACTTTAGATATAGATTTACTTTTTAACCAACCTTTAAATATAAAGTGAGTTTTAAAGTTAAAGGTTACTTCGGAAAATGGCGACCCGTTTAGCCTGTTATGATGTTATTTTGATTTTGTTTTCAGATCATTGCCTTATTCTTGAGGATTATTCACACTACGATGATGTTTTGACATTCTGTAATAAGCACACATATGTATGTATCTATGTATATGCACAATATAAACATAAAATGGCATACCAGTGCACTTATGTACATATGTATGTATATACAAGTAATATGCTATCGTTGTGCCAATGATCCTTAAAATATTTCATTGTCATACATTTAAAATTATATGCCTCCAATCTACAGATAGATAAGCTTTAAAAGGAATTGCAGCATAATCTTTGTTTCCTATGTTATTAGGGATATTATTTTTTAATCTATATTGCATGCATTTTGTACAGTTTTTGTGTGCTTTAAAAATACATTAGGTATTTGATGGGATTTCGATTAATCATTAGCAATAATAATAATATCAATGCCAACTGCAATCCTCTCCAAAATGTATACATATACTCGCATGTGTTTGCATATAAATTTATTTTACATACATTTCTTATTGAAATTGTTGTAATTGGTATCGAACGTCTTCTTGGTCCTCCTCATTCAAAACTTATACTTTGTTTTTATTTGTTTTAATACGTAAGTTACATAGATTAATATCCTAACAGTAATTTATATGTATTAATTTTAAGTGTATTAAGGAAAATATATATGCTTAACTGATTTTTATGTTGTTCCACAAGTCGTGTTCTCATTCACGTCAAACTTCGTGTAACACCGCCCCATTGAATCATTATTACTTTATAATATTTCTTTCTTTTTTTCATAGTTTTATGAATATTCAGTCTCGCTCTTTTTGTTATAGTGAAAACTTCACCTAATTTTATTACTTTTGCATATGCGCACACATGCGCTTTTATGTAATACATAATGCTCCTACATACATACGTACATACTTTGATATTCATTTGTATCAGAGTTGATACTACATAGTATAATCCGAGTCTTTAATTTTCCGACTCACTTTTTCCTGCCATTAATCTCAACGAAATATTTTATGCNATTTTATTACTTTTGCATATGCGCACACATGCGCTTTTATGTAATACATAGTGCTCCTACATACATACGTACATACTTGGATATTCATTTGTATCAGAGTTGATACTACATAGTATAATCCGAGTCTTTAATTTTCCGACTCACTTTTTCCTGCCATTAATCTCATCGAATATTTTATGTACGCACGAAAACGCTTCATTGAATTCTTCACATTAAAAACTTACATACATACATAGTTATTAAACTTATTCGTTAACTCATATTTTAAGCTTACGCTTCTAGCATGACTTTGTGGACCTGCAGTTGTTGCGTACTATTGGTCACATTTTGAGTGGCTTCGGCGTTAGTCGGTGTTACAGTGACATCAGCAGATACTGCAGAATATCTTTGTGCTGCTGTTGCAGCCGCAACCAATGCCTGCAATTTAGTTGGCGGCGGTGTTGGCGACTTTTTCGACAGATTCAGTGGTTGTTGTGAGTCGGCTATATCAACTTGTAACTCCAGTAGGCGTGGAGGGGAGTGAACTGCTGACGGCGATGGTCGCGAAGGAGATATTGAAGTAGAGGTGGAGTGTGGAGATTGGAAATATTGGCATCCATTTGATGAGGATGATGATGCTGAGCCATTGCCGCTTGGCGAAACAGACTGCTGGCGATGGCTGATACTCGTTGTAGTTATAACAGAATGGCCGTGCCACCTTGTAGCGGTTGGGCCTACTGTGTTTGGGGGTGGTGGTGAGGGCAATGCAATTGTAGTGGTTGAGGGCGAAGCACAATTAGTGCTTGAACAAGCAGGAGAACTGCTCGAGGATGGTGAAACGCTCGAGTTATAGTGGTAGGAATTCTGATTTAAAGGTGATAAATGCTGCATTGGTGCTGGACTACGGCTACCGGGGTGTGTTGGCGTGTTCGGAATCAGAGCTCCTGATGACGATCCTGGATCACGCATAATGTAATTCTGAATTATATCAGATCTCTTAATTTGTTCGGGAGTCATTCGTGGTTCAGCCATCAAAGATTTAGCCAACACTGAATGAGTGCTCGACAACGTAGATTGTTGTGGTGTCTGAACGGCGCCGTTGTTATTTTGGTTGTCATTACCGTTGTTGCAAACATTGGTAGTCGCTTGACGTGTTAAATGTATATGCAACTGACTTTGCTGATGACAACTTCCTGCATTTTCTGATGGGATATGAGGAAGCGGGGATGATGCTGGTGGTGCAGTCGCTTTAGAAACAACAACCGAATTCGGAGCATTACTCGGGGTTTGAGCAGATGGAGGTGAGATTGCTTGCAAGCTTTGCACCGAAATATTAGTTTGCATACTTGGTGTGTTGGTTTTACCGACGCTATTAGAGCCATTGGATGTAGAACTAGGATCTGCGTCTGCCGTTTCGAATTCGCGATGTCGCAGTGCTCGAAATTTTTTATGTGGTTTATACGCTTCATCCATTAGTGAGTTGGTATCGTAGAGAGGAGGCGCTTGCAGTACTCGTTTCAACACGGGCATATCGTCCACAATTTGTCTTTTTAGCGCATTTGGCGTATTAGCTGGGCCAGCTAATGAAGAGGTGGACGTCGGATTGATAGGTTGAGGCGAACGTATGGGTGAAACAGATATTGTAACTTGACTTGTACTTGCTGTTGCAGTTTCTGTGCAGTCAAGGGCGTCGTCAACACTAGAACGCGGACTGGAACATGAAGAACTTCCGCCAGAGCTTACTGCTTTGATGCCGCAATCGTTCTTTTCATTACCCGACTCGATACCTGAGTCGGTGGGCGAGTCTAATTTTCGGTATCTATTTGTAGTACCAGAAGTTAGGTGATGATGCAAATGCTGGTGGGAATGCGAGCGAACAATTGGAGTGATAGTCAACCCATTCTGGGTTAGATGTGCATGTGAACCGACAATGTCCATTTCGGCGGTAGAATCACCAGACGAACCGGAGTTGGCTCTGTTGCGCAATGGACACGAACCTGATAATGATGCGGCCAACAATGGTGCTGACGAAGCTAATGCAGATGTTTGTGGTCCTTGTTGATTAGAGTGATGGTGGGATGTTGACGTGCTTGTTGAGGTGGTGTATTCTAAGTCTGCCGACTCGGTACTTGACACGGAACCTAGAGGACTCTTTGCCTCAGCATCCATACGTGGATCGTCCCAGTTAATAATAGGACTCTTTACATTCGCTGGCTGTTCATCGTCCATTGTCCACATCTGCTGGCGTAATAGTTCTTTATGTTCCGTACGAAATACAACTAGTTTCTCAGTATGAAGAGTGCTTAATGTTCGCAAATCAGGCATTGTATCTAACAATTTTGCCATGAAATCTGGTTGATCAGCGCGGTTCTGGCTTATGACTTTTTGCAAGCAACCCTTCAATCGGCTATACATCTTTTCGATCAATTCAATGTTGCGTAGTCCAGGTCGATCGGGCGTTATCAAAACTATTGCACAAAACAGCCCGATTTCCGCATCTGACAAATTCATAGAATTCATGCGTTCGGCAAAATTGAATGTTGAATCCACCAAAAATCGGGCATTAGCACCGTTCTGTATTGCATCGCGACGCATTACCTGCCCATTCAAGCAAATTATACTATTGATAGAAGAATCAAACATGCAAATCAAACGCACAAAAAGTGCATCGAAAAGACCGGCTTTGAGCAAAGTGAATTTATCATCCTGGGTGAGGAGTTGAAAACCTGGTATCATACCGGCGAAGTCGATAACGCCACGTATTACATGAGCAAAGCGCTGAGAAAACTCTTGCTCTGACTGCAACTCTGGAGCGGGATTCAGCGGGCAAGCCTATAAAAGTAAAAGAGAATATTTATTAAAATTATGAATCGCGAAATATTCCAATATCAGAAGAAGTACTCGTATACATTAGAAAAATCCGTAAACGAAAAAAGCTTTGTTAATCATATTTCTTAGTACATGTATGTATGTGTATATGTAGGTACATATGTATGTATGTGTTTGCATTTAACTTTCATATCTACAATGTTAAGGTCCCAGTGAAGGTCATATTTTTCACAAAGGTTGTGATATTCACCGTTAACAAAATATTGGAATCGATAACTACAAAGAAACGCCAGTGTATTTTAGCACATGCGCCGGCTTTACATATCTGTGTAGGTTTAATTGTATACATATATGTATGTATGTATGTACTTTTGTATTCCAACATGAGAACAATTTTTAAGAGCTTTTGCTTGTTGCTTTAGAAAAGAGAAGTCAAAGCTTATATTTCCTAGTAAACTAAATCTATGAAATGGCGCAAAAAAGTATGAGATCCATAGTGGGGTACATACATATATATATATACATATGTATATATAGGCTTATCTATGTACGAATGTATGCATAAAGTAAAGAGCATAGAGAAAACTTATTTGGCTTTTACAACTAAGAATGAAAACAAAGCGAAGCTCGCTGGTTGCGCGTGTGTNATGAAATGGCGCAAAAAAGTATGAGATCCATAGTGGGGTACATACATATACATATATACATATGTATATATAGGCTTATCTATGTACGAATGTATGCATAAAGTAAAGAGCATAGAGAAAACTTATTTGACTTTTACAACTAAGAATGAAAACAAAGCGAAGCTCGCTGGTTGCGCGTGTGTGCCTATAATTAAGTTTCGCGTGTGCGTGATGCTTTATTCTGATATTCTAGTCAAGGTCGACGAACTAGAGTTCAAGGTTTTACCTTCACGAGGGGACTGCGAGAATCTACTGCGTATGTACATACATACATATATACATACATACAAAGGTACACACTGTACCTCAATCAGTGCAAGAAAGCCGCGTATACTTACTTACGTACATACATATGAATATACATACATAGAATAAAGGGAGTAGGAGAATAAATAAACTTGCTACAGATGATTTGATTTTTTTTAAATAATATTTAATGTCTAACGTAAATAAGTAAATCTTTAAATAAATTTATTTAATTGAAAAAGTATGTAATAAGCAGAATTTGTTTTTAGAAGCAACATAAATATCTATGCATGCATACATGTGCGNTTTACCTTCACGAGGGGACTGCGAGAATCTACTGCGTATGTACATACATATATGTACATATACATACATACAAAGGTACACACTGTACCTCAATCAGTGCAAGAAAGCCGCGTATACTTACTTACGTACATACATAGAATAAAGGGAGTAGGAGAATAAATAAACTTGCTACAGATGATTTGATTTTTTTTTTAATAATATTTAATGTCTAACGTAAATAAGTAAATCTTTAAATAAATTTATTTAATTGAAAAAGTATGTCATAAGCAGAATTTGTTTTTTAGAAGCAACATAAATATCTATGCATGCATACATGTGCCCCGCTTTATTTGGAACAGAAACCTAGGCACTCAAACGGAAACATGAAAATTGATCTTGAACTTGAACTTTATTTAGTTAGGTAGATTGTTGTTATCGCAAAAATTCAAAGCTTCACCAAACATATTTAGTATTTCACAGCACTTAAAATATACTATTTGTGGTATACATATACATATGTATGTATGTATGTATGTATGTAGGGACATAAATGTTCTTAGTAAAATAAATATTTGTGAGTCTATGTTCGTGTACACAGAAACAACCTATGCGCATTCATTTATTCGTGTATGTCAATGCCAATGCCAGCGTTCATCGCATCATTATCAAACTTAACTTTATGGATTCAATGGCGAAGCCAAGCACATCCGAACGAAGCTAATCGTAGAATCGAATGGGCTATTGTGAAAACTAGTTAGTTCTTTACGCATACTAATTGTACATACATACATACATATACCTAGTATATATATATACATAGGTGTTTTCTATCAAATTTTTGAATTTACTCAGAAAATTTGTCAAGAATGATTAGCAGCAAAAGGTTTCTAGTATTTTAAAAGGTGCATACAGATGNACTAGTTAGTTCTTTACGCATACTAATTGTACATACATACATACATATACATAGTATATATATATACATAGGTGTTTTCTATCAAATTTTTTAATTTACTCAGAAAATTTGTCAAGAATGATTAGCAGCAAAAGGTTTCTAGTATTTTAAAAGGTGCATACAGATGTATGTATGTACATACATATATAATCCCTAATTCCACAGAACGTTTTTATTTACACGTGTACATGCATACATACATACATACTTATTTGCAAGCCTTCTGCTTATAATAAATTGCGCAAACGAAAAAGAAAATAGCCGAAATACAAGTCGCTAAAATATAGCTAAACGTTCATATGTAGTTTGTATGTAGTATAAAAAGTTCGCCATGCACCCCTAAAAGCTTAGACTGAACTTAACTACTAGTCTAGACTAAACTTAACTTAATTTAACTTACCGTAACAAATCATCAATGATAACTCAACACGTCTATTTAAGTCTGAAGCGGAAATATTTTGTTTTTGAGAAATGCAAAAACGAAAATCTGGCAAGCCTTATTCTCTCACTGCTCTCGATTATCACAAGGCCGCAAAAGCCTACAGTTTCTTAAGTTTCTTACGGTAAGTTAAGTTTTAACTAACCGCCAAGACAGTCTCTCATATAACAGGTTGGTNTTCTTAAGTTTCTTACGGTAAGTTAAGTTTTAACTAACCGCCAACACAGTCTCTCATCTACGAGGTTGGCCAAAATATTAAATTAAATTAAGTTACGAAAATTAAGTATAGACTAACTGAGCTTAACTTTAAGTCTAAAGCAGAACTTTTACACTTGCTTATGAAGTTCTGCCAGCGCTGCCCATGACGAACTTAGTGGCCGCCTTTTTACATTTTTCGTCATTTCTTTGGGTCCACATTGGTGCCGCGAGAAAACAAATATTTGTGTTCGAAAATTCATTGTCCCGAAATACCCAGTTCTAGTATTTATCCACCACCCACCAGATCTCAGTTCTTGTTATACTAAAGCTCACCATAAACCATTTAACCTTTGCTAAGGAAGTACCTATTAAGATTATTCCAGTAGACCTATTTTAAAAGCAAATTTTATTGCCAAATGCCGGTGTATCCGAAAAATGTAAATTGCGTTGCAAAAATATTTTGGACTCGGGGGGGCTTGTTAGGTGGTACGGTCTAATGTACATACATATTTAAGTGCACATCTTTATGTTTATAAGAATTGTATGTATTGTATTATTATTAGCAAGCAGACATACTAACGCCTGAACGACAGACACACCAAAATGGAATGACGATGGTCGCGACAAAGGGGACGCAGATGAATTGCAAAAATACTGAGCTGCGAATAATTTCCTCGTATTTTACAAGGTCATGTGCGCCAAGCTTTTATTCTGTTTCGGTTTTTTTTTCGAATCGGTATATATTTCAGTATTTGCGCGCGTGTATTAATTTTTAGGTGTAGTTGTTTTGTGTTTTTGCATACTGCTGATTTGTTCGTGTTGATGTCATTATGACGTCTGTCGTCTGGAGCAAACGCGCATTTATTTGCGTTGATATGGAAATGACAAATTTTGTAATGGATTATTAGTTAATAGTAAGTCAACTAAGTTGCCAGCCTATGTACATATGTATGTATGTATGTATAATGGCATGTGGTGCAAGCAAGAGTATGAGAACAACGCTTATAAGATAATTCCTATGCGTACGTGTACGTATGATTGTACATACCTACTTAGTCCTATTTAGTATGTATCTATGAATGTAGTATGTACAGGCATACTCTAAATTTGCTTTCAGTGTATCTACATATGTACATACATATGTATGTATGTATTTCGCCTGAGTAAGAGAGCTGGCATTTGATTTCATTTAATGTGATTTTTGCAAAAGCTTTTTCAAAACAATATTTCTCTGTGTTTATTTATTTTTTCTCATCGGCGCTTGTTTTTTATTCTATTCTCGTCGAGAGTCAAATTCAAGGTTAAAAAACCTTGCCACAAGGTTATTTCTGCGCTCTTATTCTACCTTCTAGACATGTGCGGTCTTTTTTGTTATTGTTATATTATTGCTGTTATGACGATATGTCATGTTGTTGTTTAATTTTATTATATTTGCTGACTTTGTTGAATGCTTTGTTGTATAAATTTGAATGATGAATATTTGGTAGACCTTTTTATCTCTTTCTGTGTATATATTGTTTGTTTAGCTTCTTTTATTGGTACATACATATATATTTGGAATAAACAGACAATTTTCTTGCCGAATTTTTAATCGACAGAACTTTGCAAAAAAATATTACGAACTGTGTTTAATACAAATATGCTCATGCGTATGTACATACATACTTAGATACGAAAAGAAATAACTATGGGTTTTTTTAAGCCTTTTAAGTCTAATTAATAAAATAAAAAAATAAAAGTAGAAAATTATTTTTGTTTTTATTAGGTTATATATTCAATTAAAATATAACAACTGTGTTGGACTGTTATCAAACTAGGATCTACCGAATGGTAGATCGCTGTTCAATATATGTATATACACTTGTGGTCATCTGATTAAGTCAAGTGACACTTTGACTAGGTTTGGCTATTTTTCTTTTGTTTATTTATTGTTTATATATTTTTTTTTATAAAAGTTTGGCACTTTACCTTACCTGCGCCGTATAAATTCACATTTCAAACTTCGTACAAAAATTATGAAAATTCAACGAACTTTAACAATTGCACCCAAAACTTTTAAACTTTTTATTTAGAATATTTAGGGTATGCAGTTTTGTAGCCCATTAAATTTTAGTAGGTTAAAGTGAAAATTTAAGGACGCTAGAAATTCGCGTTGATTTTTAATAATTTGTTTTGCTGATGGTGCTAGGCGTTTTCTCCCATATAAACGAAATTGTCGAGCATATTTTATTTTGAAGAATATGCACAACACCGTCAGCCAAAAAATTATCACAAATCAACGCGATTTTCTAGCGTCTTGAAACTTGCACTTTAACCTACTGCATACCCAAAATTTTTCTAAAAATTCTAAACGAAAAGTTCAAAATGTTTGGGTGCAAATATTAAAGGCTTTTACACCTACACTTATTCCTGTAACAAAGCACGCCAGTCATTTCTAATATATAGCTACATACATATAATAGTATGAATTACTAACCATGCAAGATTAAAAATAAATTCTTTACAGCTTTTCATTTTAATTAATCGATAGAGATTTTTTTTAGCTGATTTTTTAGTGAGCGCAATTTATTAGTCAAGAGTCGAAACTAAATCCTCTTTTTTTAACGAAAAAAAAAAAAATAAAATTATGAAATTTTCTTCGGAGGGTCTACCTGTTTTATACATACATTCATTTAGGAACTTTTCATAGCAATATTTTAATTTTTATAAGTCATCTGTTTACACCCGGGTAAGCTAATTTTATGAAATAATGAAAACTACTGTTAAAACTAACTAAAAAGCGTTAAGAATACTATATTATTTATTTAAATGAATACATATTAACACTTACCAGTAGCGTTGGCATTGAATAAGAGGGACACTCTCTCGCCCTTTGTCTCATGGCAGCAACTTTTTCTTTTGTAAACTCGCAAGTTTCCAGATGAGCGCGTAGGACAGCAGCTATCAGTCGTGGTTGATCATCCAGCTCCCCTGCAAGAGCGCGTTGTTGGCCACGATTTTGTGTGCTTTGCTGCATGGCAGCTAATATTCGCGCTTTCTCACGCTTTGGTACTCGACCGAATCGGACCGCTGCAAGCAAAAGAAATCGGGTTTTTAGTGTGACAGACATATTACTACTATTAAATAAACAAAAATCCTAAATATACAAATGTACTTATATATATGTATATGTATATATCGTCGTTCGAAGTACAAAACCGCGTATCGTCGTTCTGCCAAACTGGGTAACTAACTTTTTTTGCAAAAATTGGATTTGCTCACCCGAGCTCTTGGCTCAAGCCTTTACCATTCGTCCTTAAATATACTAGCCAGAAATGCGATTGCTCTATAAAAAACCGAACCATTTTGAAATAGTGTTTTTACTCTCTAAAAAATAATTTCTCCAACTTCACATACGCGGTTTTGCATTATATTGATAAGCGGTTTTATACTTTAAACGACGATATGTGCATGCATAAGTTATGCCCAATGCTTATTGTGCCTACTTTATTCACTCCCCTACTGCACCACGGAGTGTGAAACCAAATTCATTCAATTAAATATCGAAAGTCAACGTTCAAAAATATTTAACTTTCGTCGTATTTAAACCTATGTAGATTTGTTTGAATAAATATCTAGGTACTATACATACATACATATGTATGTACATATGCATGTTTAAGAAGTGGAATATGCCTGTATCATGAACAAAGTGCAAATGAAAAACTGATTCAACTAACTTCCTGAAATTCATTTTGCTAATTTTAAATATGGTAAATTTTAAGTTTTACTTTCTGTTGTAGTGTTTTTTTTTTAATCACTCTCTCTTACTTGGCTTAAATACTATTAAAGTGAAATGAGAACATAACTACGAGTACTATAGTAGCCAGTCTAACAACCGATTTCACCTCTACTGGTGAGCAAACTTTTACCATAGACACTTTCATTTCGCCAACGAGAAGTAACGAAAGCAAATTAATAAACAAGAGCAACCGATAGTGGAAAACCATAATAAAGAGTGGGAGAAGGGGTCGCGGTCTATCAAATAAAAAAATGCATATAGGATTATTACTTAAGTATGTATAGCGAAAAGGGAAATTGTTACGGGAGGAAATATAAATATAACTTAATGAGATATGAAATATTCGTGAATTTTCTGTAAAATTGATTTATTAATTATTATATTATATTATGTATGTTTTTAGAAAATTAAAAATATATACATACGTATATGTATGTATATTTGAATAACATTCATATAAATATGTGTACATACACACAAATTACCATGATACAAAAATTTGAAGGTAAACCCACTGAAAGGCAGCCTGAACGAATTTTCATCTATTTATTTTTTGTTTTACATTTATTTGGATTTGATTTGCTCTGGAAACTTCAATTTTATAAAGCAGAAAAACTTCAATAAATTGCCTACACTCATTTCCTAGAAGATCGCCATAGCTCAAAAAACTACTTCTTTGAAGCCTTTAGCTAGGCTTTCCATATTGAACAAAAGACAGTTATTAATAAAAAATACAACAAGTTTGATACTACAATGTAACACAGAGGATAAGTCTATCATTAAACGTTACTGCTCATGTTGCTTATTTTGATCAACGAGTGATTGTTGTAAAACAAGAAAATTTTTCTTCTTACAAGACAACATTGGTAGATATCTTTATGAATTTTATGCACAACTTTTTGATAGTCATTGGCTAACTAAAAGGTTAATGTTAACCAAATACTTTTAAAGTACTGTAAAAATTTACTAATGGTTGACTGCAGTTAACCAATGTCCATTCATTAGTTAAGCAATTTTGATAATAGCCGTTTTTCTATTAGTTGACTAAGTAATTGATGTGAAAACGGCTCATAACCGANATTTCAACAAAAGTGAAATATGGAGGAGAAGAAGCCTATTCGAATGTATGTATGTATATATGTACATATGTACATAATTTACACATACACTCATCTTAACAATAAGGTAGAATTGAAGTGAGAGGCAAATAGTTAAGAAGAAGTCAGAAAGCATATTACTTTGCGGCTGCGCATTTAGCTCGTTGCACGCCCCAGATAAAAACGAAGTATAAAAAAAAAAACAGCAACGAAAGCGGCGACTACACCACGAAGAAATCTCACTGACATACATTAATGCAGGCCGGCGAAATTCGGGTCAAATGAAAATGAAAATGAAATGTTTTCTCTAGCAAACATACATATGCATGTATGTACATACATATGCACAAACTTATATTTGTAAAAGGAAAGAGAAAAGAAATCACAAAATAAAAGAAATTTGAATGTAAAGTCAAATGCAAAGCCACGAATATACCTAGAAAAAGGTAAAAACGCTATCAAAAAAGAAAGTAAGAGGAGGATGTAAAGAAATATAGGCACGGAACACAAAGCTAACAACAATTGAGTTGAAAAATCTATTATATCAATTACAAATAACGAATAGATATTTGTAATAAAGAAAGTTGATAAATTTAACAAGAATAGAATAGCGGGATATATTTATTATTTCAGAGTATGTACATATGTACATACATACATACCTATCTAACAGCCAGAAATATATATATTTTTAAACATAGTCTAATGGAAATTTAACATACATATATAATATGTAGCGACACTTACGTGCATTGTGATAGTTAACATTGCCTTTAAGTATACTTTTGAGAATTGGTAATTCCTCGGTCATTGTAATGAAATTTATTTTAAATTATATGCCTTTACATAAACTTTTTATATGCAAGTTGGTAAAGCGTTTTTATTTAGGCAAACTGGAAATGCTTTTGTTGAATTTTTACAGTGAACAAAATTCCGGCATATGGAATTTTTAAATCAGGTACACATTTTCGATATTTCTCTTCATGGGAACGACTCATTGAATAATTAACAGGAACTTTATTTGCTTTAGTTTTAAGATTTATCATAATTTTATTTATTCACCATATATTTTATTTGTTTGCACACTAAATACATATACACATGCTGCTGTTTTTTGGTATAAAGCGGTCTATATGATATATATATTTTTATTTATTTATAAGAAACGTTAATTCAAAGAACATCTTTCTTAGTACACTTGTCAAAAACATATGAATACATGTATTTATCTTTGATCATCGACAACTTTTTTGTTAATATTACTTTTACAAATATTTAATTATTTTGCACACCATATTTTTTGTTTTGTTTTATTTCTTGCACCCGGTTTGTAGTTTACTCGTTCATTAGTCTGTAATCTACCGTTGGACGCTAACGTGACAAAACTCGCCAAGGCCTCGAAAGCGACTAACTGTAAAAATCAGAAGCATGTTATGAATATACTGAAAAGACAGCATGGACAAAAACGAAACGAAATACGAGATGTGCACGATACAGAGAAACAGAGGTAGGAGTAAGGGCAGAACTAAAAGCAACATTGCGCACAATAAATTAATACGCAGAGTGATGAAGCAAAAGACCTCAAAAGAGAAGAATTAACCTCAACGCCACAGTTACAACCTCATGGTTTATCTCCCGGTACCGACTTGCACACTTGCGAATCGTGGTAAATGAAGATGGAAAGCTTCTAAATGCCGCTTGTGTAGATTTAATCACACAACCTACTGATAAACGAGTGTGTATTTACATATGTGTTTTGCCTCTCTTTTATATATATTGTTTTTTGTGCTACGCTCTCATACTAAGAGAAAAGTGTTCTCGTAAATACATATACACAAATATAAGACAAAAAATTTACACATACGTATCGAAACTTTCCAGCGCAAGTATCGCAATGTAGTTCTGTTGTATATTTTACCACATTTAAGAGAGTTTTATAAATGAACTTTTTGGCTTGTGAGAATATTCAGCAAAAGCTCTGTAGCTCTTATAGNGTAAACAACTACATAGAATGAAGTGTCATATCATAACAGGGTCGGTTCAGGGAATTCAACGAACAAACACAAATTTGACGTTCTCATGCTTCCTCCAAGCCGCAATGCATATCGAGCCCTTGCTGCGAAAATAAAGTAAGCGAACTTTTTTTAAAATTTAATGCTCTGCATCAAAAATTAAGTTTAAAAAAATTAAAAAAAAAAATGCCAAGTCCTCCTCCAAATGGTATTTTTATCCAGAGGCCGCAGCGTTTCTCATACATTTACAAAAATTGTATATTTTGTTAATTTTTCATATGAATTGTTTTTCAACAAGAATTTTTAAACCGCTCCTGAATTTTGAAAAGTAAAATTGTAATTTTGAGTACACTCTCTTATCGGATCTCTCTTTCTTTTTTCAATATGTCGGCCCTCTCATTTTGGGGAATGTAAAAAAAATACTACACTCATACTCAAAAATTTTAAAATAATAATAAATTCACATCATTGAAAATAGGCTTATTATTAAATTACTTACCTAAATATATTTGTTATAGTTATAATGTACTACTTAGTTGGAAACATTCTATTCTAATTTTTTTTTATATGTATGTACATATATTTAGTGCATAAAAAAATTAATTGTTTTGATATCACAAATTCATGTGCGTATGTATGTATATGTGCATGTACGTAGTCACGGGTTATGAACCTACCGTCTACGCTTGAGCTTTTTGATACGTGTTGCGCTTTGAAAGTAAAAGTGAAAGCAGCACATTTTTTATCACAAAAAAAATATACATAACACCGTTCCGTATTCAAGTTTATATGCAATACCTACAGCGATATCAGTAACTGTTTTGAAACTATTGTACATCGGTATGTGTATGTACGCAAACGTAATTTCCGATCTACATACATACTTATGTACATATGTATCTATGTATGGTTGTATACCTACAAACATACATAATTAGGATGGTGAAATTGTGTGTGAGATGGCAAAGTTAAGGGGAAATCGAAATACTTATTTAATTTTGAGTTTGTTGGCAAAATAACAGATTTTCTCCCTTAACAAGTCTACTTTATTTATGTCATAAAATAAAAATCTGATTTTTAAATTTTCATATTTATGTACATATATGTATGTTTTCTAGAGACTGTGAAAAAGCAATTTACTTTTACAGGGAAAATGGCAGACCCAATTCCAAATTTTAA